GGTCGTCTACTTGAAAGGATAGAAAAAAAGACTTCTGAAAAACTTTTCAAGCAGAAGTTAACTGGCCTTCACATCGCATAAAAAGCTAATTTCAAAAACAGCAAGAAAAAAAAAAGACAGTTCATGGTTCCAACCCGATTAAGCAAACAAATTGGAGATAGCAGTAAAAAATAATCGAAGTACCAAACGATACTACTAAAAATTTCTTCCAGTAACTTGGTAGGTATTTAAAATTTCAATGACACAAGAACGACTTCATTATTTCTGGAATACTGTAGCCAAACCACTTATTACTTTTGCTCAACTAAAGACACCTCCAAAAGTGCATTAGTGCTTAAGGAACGGCCAACATTATGTGATTTCAACACTGAAATGGAAATAAAAGCAATTAGAAGAAAACGACCTCAAATGAAAGTTTTAAGTTCACCTAAATGTTACAGTAAAAATAAAATTCAAAAAAGCATGCAACAAGGCTGTATTTGACAAAACTGACATCAATTCGCATCGTCAAATTTTTTTTGTTCATCCGGTGTCAACAATAACAATCTCTAGTCTTTCCAGCAATCTATCCCAAATTTTTGTGAACGTTCAAATGATGACAAACAAATTACAGCCATCACTTGACAACTGTGTCATTGCTAATATTCCAGTCATCTAATAGTCTTTCCCGCAAAGTCAGTCATCTTAATTCTTTCTAGCGGAATACACACTTCCTCTGACCATCCAAATGACCTACGTATTTTTGATCGTTATCTTAATCGTATGAACGGAGAATTAAAGATGATAAAAATGGCGCCGAATCTGCCACGTCGAATCCTTCGTTCCGTGGATGGACTTCAGTAATACTGGATTATACAACAAACTAACTCGCTGCTGTAAGACCATCATACCTTCCACCTCATCCTTGTCTCCAATAAATTTCCCTCCAGTTTAAATTTTCAAGTAGTAGAATGCACATGCTGAGCAAGTTTAACGTTTAAGTAAGCCAGACTTAACATACCAGAATATCCAGGTTCCCTTACCTTTTCACGAGCTAAGCTTTAAATTCTCCTCAAAAACTGCATTGTGCTCAACTAAAGTGACACGAAAAAAACCCTTTGTTTTAAAATACATCCATGCTTCACTGTTTTTACAGTTTTCAGTTCATTAAGCATCCTTAACGCTGCTCTTAGAAGCACCAGTATAATAAACTTAGACTTGGAATGGGAAATAAAACTAAAATGAAGGCAAGAAAATTGGTGAAGAATATTCAAACCCCCTCTCCAAGATTTCCTCCTCTTTCAGCCTTCCTACCCAACAATTCGATTATCTAAAGCAATAAATACTCAGATTCAGCCCACACGACTATCAAAATTAGTTTGAAGAAGCATCAAAAACTTCAAAACTCCACTCTATCACAAATTTAAATTCAAGGCTGGACAAAAAAGATATGCGACATCATCAATGCAGGCAGAAACTTGAGGTTCACACAAACCTTCAATTAACCGACACGCAAAAACACTGTAAGCACCATCTCCGCCTTTGAAGAGGATGTCAGAAACTTGAAAGCTACTCAAGCAAACAATTACTGACCGTAACATGTAAAAAAGAAATCCACCAGAAAACAAATCTTGCAACTAATATACGACGCTAGAATCGAAATGCCCCGTCTAAATTTATTTACTTTTATATAAACAACTCTCGCCCGCTTTGTCAAACAGCTAAAATAGACATAATACAATACGAGCTTCTTCTAACCACAAAGGCTGCTCTGATCCACATAAAAACAGTATTTTTTCACAGTCCAGAGCGATCAAGAAAAAGCAGAGCAAATTGAAACCATTTGCATGACGAATGATCAAGGTGTATGACGAATGACCAAGTACTATGTTCTCTGCTCTCAGTACAGAAGAAGCCACTGTTAATTAAAAAACAACTCAACTAACAATAGCCAAAGCGTATGCTCAATTCAAATTCTACTTGCCTCAACAAAAAATAAAATGAACCACTACACCTTGATCAGCTTATATGATCACAGAATACACTAAGCGCACCAAAATTTGTGAACATTGAAATTTTTCAAAACTACAATTTTGAACATGATAAATGAAATTTATACGGAAAGCATTATGTATTCAACATGAAGTCGACCTGAATATACAAAAAATAAAAATGTCTCTCAAATTCAAAAACTTCGTTGATAAGCTCCACACTAAAACAGTCCTAAGGCGCAATGATGGACAATACAGTGTTTTATTATGGACAGTACCAGATTACTTCAGGAACCTCCACTGCTTAAAAGTAAGCGGAATAAGATTTCAAAAACAACAAAATAAACCTCCACAAAGCAATATGTATAACTTTAATAAGGAAATAAAATTATCCAGAGCCCTCAGCATCAATTAGGAGAATTGCGACAGTATGTACAAGTTTCAAAAGGTGCAAAACACTGGTATACATTTGTGGTCTACAACTACCGGCGACGAGTTCCTCGACAATAAATATCCGCTCTCATGACTGGGAATTAACTGCTGTGTCATCACCTTCCTCATCCTCTTCTGTGATTGGAGCACCACTCTGTGACTTCAAACTTGTCCTTTTTTGCTGCCAACTTCTCCATCCAAGTGATTCTGAAAACGTTGAAAAGTCAGCAACTAATTTACAATATATCACAGAAATTTTGAAAATTCACAGGGACAATACAACTAATAAGAAAGTTATGAAGATGCTGAAATACCAGAAATCAGGACATACCACTATCAAGTACTTCCATTGAGGAAAGGAACTGCGTACCATCAAAGCCCCCAATCACATAAATTGCACTACCAGCAGTCACTACAGCATGAGTATTTGCCCGCGGCCCCAACAAGGATGGACCAAGCCTCCACTGGGCACTCGGGTGATCTAATATTTCCACAGAACTCAAAGACTGTGTACCGTCGTGACCTCCGATGACATACAGTGAATCTAAACATAAAATTAAAGCCATTTTGAGAAAAGTCTTCCGCTGTTGGTAGAAATCTTTCGAAACAATGAAAAATATGTGGAAATAACCAGCTTTCAGAATATGACACCGAAGTAAAAATGAAAAATGAGAAAAGTTACCTCTAACGACAGCGACAGCACAACCTCTTCTAGGAGTTTTCAATTTCGGTAATGCCTTCCAACCATCCGTCTTAGGATCATATGCTTCGACCGTGTCCAGACACGTCCAACGATCACAACCGCCACACGCAATGATCATTCCTCGCCAGTTGGTACATGCGGTCTAAACGACTACAGAATGCAATCCGAAAGCAGCAAGAGTTGCATGAACTGAAGCAGGAACGGAATAACACCATAATTGATAACAGAAGGGTGTTTTTATCACACCCGGTTCAAGCAAGCAAATGTCGTATTTTCAGACCTGAAACCTAGCAGTCTGCAACGGAGGAATTTCACACCACTCGTCTTTTACTGGGTCATATCTTTCACATTCCTTCAGCACTGTCTGTTCTGAACTTCCCCCAATACAATAGACCATTTCATCTAGACTAGCGCAACCTGAAAAATGCAGAACTTCTAAGTGCATAAGGTAAACAAAGTGCCGAACAAAACAAATCGCACAAAACCGTATCCGCAATAAAGCTCTAAAGCGAGAAGAAGCAAGCACCGCAATATTTGCTGCGCAGAAGAAAAAGAAACACTGACCGTTATGACTTCTTGCCTGCTTTAGAGGTTTTATCAAGGTCCACTTTTCACTCTTCGGATCGTAACATTCTGCAGTTTTTAAATCGTTGTTTCCATTGCTTCCTGAAAGGGAGGAGCGAAATAAGCCACAGAAATGAAGAAATAAGGAAAACAGAAACTACAATTCACCTGCAACTGCGTACAAAATCCCTCCTACAACAGCAGCATCGAAACGTCCTCTTTCACAAAGCATATCAGGCAGATGTCGCCATTCACTTCTGAGGACGTCATACTCTTCGGTTGATTTCAAACATTCTCCACGATCGTAACCTCCTACAGAAAGAAAGCTCAATAAGTTAAAAGTTGCCATATTTTACCAACCTAATAACATAGAAAATCGAGTAAAAATTAAAATAACAATTAATGACCGCCCATCACGGTCCAGTCGAAAGTTGGGAGGTAAAATGGAGATGACAACTTTACAACTGCATAACAGTACTTGACTGTGATTAATTAAGACACCCACCACAAACTATGATCTTCCCATTGATGAAAGCAGCCCCAACAGAGCATCGAGCATCAAACATTGAGGGCAGTGGCATTCTTTCAGTACCCGGGGTAACAATCCTGAAAATAAAAAGGATTCCGCAAACTTGAAAGCCTCTACGAATTAAAAGCAAAATGCTCACTAAGACACCACTCATTTTATGTACTAAGCTATCAATCCTTGATTTTCTAAATAATGATACTCAGATTAACCCAGAATCTTAGGCTTCATTTCTAACCACTTAGCTAACTTAAAAATGAAACTTCTCTAACAACCTCACCCACTTTTCGTTAACCCTTCCTGCGTCTTTACACAAGAAAATTACCAACGAAGAAACTTATAAACATTTTATAGGCAAATATGACTTCACACAAAATTTAATTGATCAAACAATTACAGCGATAAAGTGAATTATAGAAAATAAAATATCTTGCTTAACTTTCAATGATAAATATACTGTTTTTTTTTTTTTTGCAATGAATATATTTAGTTAAAAATCTACCGTTCGAAATAACTTTTTCCAGAGCCACAAAAAAGCATCCGCACAAAGTAACGAGTGTAACAATCTTTTCTGAACAAAATTCAGTTCACTTGTTGAAGTACAAAAATACCACAAAAATTTCCAAATGTTTGCAAAAAAATAAGGTATTGTTTAAAAAAACCTTCAGTATTTTTTTTTCCATCACTCCTCTTCTCGCGCGCAAAAAAAAAAAGATAAAACAATAACATACGTAGTTACTCCAGCGGCAAAGAATTACAAAAATTTAAATTGAAAACCTGGGCTACTCAAAAACCCCGTCATGAAAATCTCTCTACCTAGCCAGAAGGGCTGCCTTTTCTTGATTAATGCTTTGTTGTTGTATATCTGCAGATTGCTTAGCATCAATGCCATTCCACAAATTATTTCGATTAGTTCGCACAATATCGTCATTTTCAGTTAACTGCAGGCTCATGGTAACCAGCTTCCGATGAAGTACACAAAGCGCGACCCAAAAATCTCCTGCAACATGAAAACTTTCAAATTGAAAAGGTACTTAAGGAAATAATAAACTAAACGATTAAAAAAGGACCAGAGGTTTGGTGGACCGCAATAAGTTTGCTCTGTATTTCTTCGTCCATGTCACTGGTTGTACTCGAAACTGAATTTAAGCTCTCAGAAGATGAATATCTGTTATTACTCAGACGACTTGAATTTAGGTGTACCGGTTTAGCCCCCACAACATGATGCTGTATAGGAGGAGCACTTAAAGAAGACCTGAAAAACATCAAAAAAACATAAATAATTCACAAAATAAAAGACAGCTTTATCTTCAAAAATCTGTAGTAAGGGATAACCATCATCCTGAAAGAAAGAAACCGAGTGTTCGTACTTTAAATAGCGAAAAAAATAATGACCCTCCATTTGAGCGTGACTGATATCCACCACTTTTTTTGTAATCCTGTATTATATCGCACGACCCAACGGAGCTCCGATCATCCATTTCCGCACAGTCTTGCAAAGTTTGATCTTCTTCCAAGTAAAGTAAGTGGGCCTGTAACGGACAAATTCTAAGAATTTGTGTAAAAATAAACAAAAAAAGTTTTTTACTACAAAGTAAAGAGCAAAATGATGAGTAATTTAGATGCAAGAAAGTAAAGCATACCTTCTCAGAAAGTTGTTCTATAACTTGTTCGACACGATCGGAGTAAGTAGGTAAACTTTGAAAATATTGAAGAGCCTTTTCCGTTAAATTCAGACCAAATCTGCCCTTCACATCTTCAAGGTTCACAATTATCCGCGCCTGTAATAAGTACCAAAAAACTTACTTCTTCAAAACACATTAAAATTGAGTAATAACTGTACTAATAACTGTGCTTTCGACCCCAATTACGAAAGATTTCGTTCACATAATGGTAATATAACAGATCTAACATTAACATTGCTTTCTTGTTAATTCAAACTCAAAAATACTTCAGTGGTTGTCCAGCTAATAGAAAAAAAAAACACTTGCAACGTGAAACTAGTGCCAAATTTCTTTTATAAATATTGAGGAAAAGAAGTATGGTTTGAAAGATTCTAAACTTTTGAAAAAAATTGTACCTTTATACATGGTAATTGGGTAAAATCTGCACTTTCATCAATTACTTGCTGAAAGTTATCCGAAATGAAAGAGTCGACTTTTCCGACTAACATGACATCGTTATTGAAATTTGCCTGTTTCCTTATTCCTGAATTGTTAACTTGGGGAAATGATCACGAAATAAATTGAAACTTTTCAAAAACAAAAGTTTAATTAAGGAAAACTGTAGGGTAATATAAAAACCCGGAACAAATCACTAAAATGTTCCACAAGAATTCTGATTACAAACACACCTATACAATTTGAAACATTGAGATTCTGAGCAAGGAAATGAGCACATGCTTTGATGACTGGAGTCATTTGTAATAAAAAAGCAGTTTTGTACAGCTCTCCAACCTTCTTGCTGCTTATTTCTAAGCTAAAACAAAACGGAATAATTCGTTTCGCGAAACTTCTATCGGAAACCAAAATAGATCACTGAACTAGTTTTCAAAGTCGCATTTTACCCCCACAAAGTGAAAGGGTAAAATAATTGCTTGTCCAAATCCCTGAAATTCTTACCTTGAGGTATAAGCAAAATTTACAAGCGCCTCGAAACACGTATAATCAGCTTGCGTAAACTCAAAGTACGACAAAGGCTGTTTGGAAGGTACTATTAACATGGATGTAGACAAAACAGGAGACGTTGGGAAAGGAACGCTGTTTTTCTTATGCGGTAGTTGTTTAGTTCCAACCGCGTTTAGAGGTGGAGAATTACCTGAAGAAATTTTGACGTCAAAAGCATTATTTTATAAAGAGTCTTTGCCTATTTAAGATTTGGTGAAAGTTATTTAAACTAAAATCTACTGTTTGCAATTCCACTACAAGATAATGTAAGGGTTGCGTTACAGTTTCACTTTAAGGTAATGTAAGGACTATGTTAACCTAAGCACTAATAAAACTAAAAATAAGGAAACCGAAACACCGACTTACTGATCCGTCACAACCTTCGCGAATAAACAGATCGAGCAAAGCTGGAGATAGAGCAGCCAAAACAACCTTAAAGGAGTTACTTTAACACAAATAATTCAAGCGGCTACATAATTTGGAAAGTCAATTTGATAATTCAAAATGGCAAAAAATTGAGTCCTTGAATGGTATTCAAAATTCAAAATTTCAGAACTTAATTTGAGCATCAAATCCAATAAATACCAACAAACCCGACCCACAGAAGCATAAATTGCAGATAGCCTAGATGAAAAGTGATGAAAAAGAAGCAACAAATTTACCTTATGCGCCAAAATCTCCTTTTCGTCTACAAAAAAAACCACATCACAGAGCTCACGATTTCTTCTAAACGCATTTAACCGGTTGAGCATAATATTCTTAAAAGATAAATGTTGTTCAATTGTTTTCAATATATCACTTAAAAATGCAGTAATCTAGAACACCTTTCTTGAAGTGCATAGATGCAAAATAACTAAATCGGTAAGGAAATGCAAACCCCTGCTGCCGGGTCCTTTAGCACAAGCGTATACTCCTCGTTGTGATCTGTCTGTTCATTAACCCAATTATCGCCCTCAGTAACATATGCAGTGGTGTCATAAACCGACCCCTTAGGAACCTGAAAAAAAGCAATAATTTCACCTCCCTTGACATTTTTTATAATCTATAATAGGTTGTTCAAACAATCAAAATATAATCATTTTAAGGCAAAGTTATATAAACAAGAACTTCAAGACAGGTGCAAAATCAAAATATTATTCAACAAAACAAATCTAATAGATGTCCGTTTCACCTTCTCAAAATAAGAAGTTAACATCAGAGATCTTGAATAGATATTACACAATGGAACTCTTGCTTTTTTTTTAACAAGAGCTAAAAAATGATGTAAAACCACCTCCTAAAGACCAGCTTCAGATTCCCCTTTCTCACTCACCAAGGATAACTTTTGTAAGATCTTCGACGCCAACATCAGTAAATAAAACATTACACTGTACTCAAATTTATTTGAAATAAAGCAGTGCACACATTGCATCTACCACAAATATATTACAAACCCGATCCTGTAATAGTAACCCAGATAAGTGCATCATTACTAAAACAGCCTTTCACCAAAAAAGTATGAAAATTCCACTGTCAGAAACCCGAAAGAAACCGTAACGGCGAGGAAAACAGGCAAAATCCAAACGATAATATGGGCGGAAAAAAATGTTGGAAGAATGCGATTTTTCACAAAAAACTTCAAGTCTTTGCTTTGTTTAAGACGTTTAGTGAGTTTATCTGAGCACTCCGGCCATCCTAGAAAATTTACTCAGTCAACCAACCCAATCTGGACAAGATTGATATTTCCCACCTGTTATACACTTATAAACGCATGTAGCAGATGCAACCACAACCGTTTCTGGCGATTTCGCCCGAAATGACTTCTTATTCAAACCAAGTAGGGTATAAGGACAAAGTTCTTAAAAAGAACAAGTGTCTCAAGAAACCAAAAAATTTAAAGTAGTTTTTTCTTTATTGGCCAAAACGTTGTATCTGTTGTTGAGTTTGTCGATAAATGTGGCCCATAAAAAGTAGGGTGAGAAATATGACAGTATGACCTCAACAAAGAAATGCTAAATTGGTGACGCGTCTAGATGGACCTGCAGGAGCCCTGATGGCTATTAAATGCAAATATTCTATTTCCTAGCAGCAGTACGTGAAAATTACGTGAAAAGCAGAATAATATAAAAAACAAAAAAAATTTAGCATTTTACTATTAGAAGTTACCGAAAGAAGCACAAAAACTAATTTGAATTTACTGAAGATAAATCAACTGAGAGAGAACTTGTCTATAAAAAAGGAAGATAGGTTGACGATCAAAATAATCATAAGAGATCGGCACGCCTAGCTGCATTGGCTTCTACACTAAGCTCCTAAAAAATTTGAAAACAAACCAAGAAAATATTGTCGTCTCTGTTGTAGTCTTCCAAACCGTCACTCAACTGTGATTGAGAGCCAGAGGCGGAGACACTTGCCGATTCATGCATCACTGCTGATGCAGATGATTTTCGAGATCTGTCGTTAGCAACTGGTGATAGATTAGTCCCATTATCCGAGAGCATTACCGATCGACTTGATGAAAGCTGAAAGTAGCTGTCACTAAACGAGAATCCGCAAGAAACACCACTAGAGAGCACGGAGTTGACGCGTAAATATGTAATTGAACCAACATGAAATAAACGACGAAACATCATATGAACACAGCACATATTCAGCCAGTGCAAGCAGTACTTCAAGTGCTAAAAATCATTCCAGCGATAACAAAAATATGAACTTCAGTTGGAGTTTCAAGAAATCATTGATGTGAAGACCAGTTCGCAGAATCATGGTTCATCTAATCAGAAATTTCAAACTAGTGCGGTTGGCCAACCACATTTAAACCTTAACAATTTTTTGCTTTTTTGCCTTTCATCCTTTCTATCTTTTTCAACCAGAGCTTAACTAAACACAACGAATTATGATATAGCCGGTTGAAATGCAGCAACATTTTAGTAACAAGTGATCAAGACATTTCGGTGCAGCATAAATCTTAATTTTTGATAAAATACTGTGTAGTAGGGAAATGTAGTAGCTGCTATGGCGCTGTAATTGTCTGTAATTCAGGCGCCAAAGTTGCGATAAATTCAACAGCAAGTATATAAAATCGAGATTGGCAATGCGTATTTAAAATGTTTTTCATTTCCCACATTAGAGAATCTGAAATTAGCCCAATATAAAGCGCAGAAGGAAAGAACCGATGTACTCAGCTAGGTGAACAACAGTCACACATATAAAACAACGTCACAACAACAGACAATGACAATAATAATAGTAATATTGATAGTCCAATAATAATAGTGATAA